GGTGCCGAGCTTCTTTTGGAGTGTGAGATGCTTTGATAAAATATATTCTTCAATTATTTGGTACAAGTGTACATGTTTTCGTCATCGGGGGTCCGTCTATGCAGACACGGTTCGTTTGACCGTTTGGCCCGGTACATCATTTTCCTATTGGGACCCCATTCGGCGTTCCTTAGCTTTTCCGAGTGTATGACCTTCCGGGGGGATGCCGCCAGTGTTCGGCGTCGATTGCAAAAGAAGCCTCGAATATTTGTTGAGTCTTCATTATGTAGCATGCATATGTTGCCTCGTTAAAAACCTTGCCGGTAAAACCCTCTTCGAGATAATAACTCGGTCGAAGGAAAAGAGTGCAACAGATGCTTTAAAACCTTAAGGTCTTCGAGCTGGGTCAGTGCTTTGACTGCTTCAGTCAGGCGCCTGCATAAGGGTCAATTATTAAATATAAAATAAAAAGGGAGATGGTTATACCTCAGTGGCGATGGCACTTTTGATCCTTGGTATTCGTTTGGAGGGCGCGGTACGGTCCTTTATTCGGATGCGACTGAGGGCGCATCTCGTGGTTGTTGTCTTAGAAGATCGTGTGGATGATGTGTTACGACTCGTCTACCTTGTCCCTTTTGGCTGTTTCCCTTTCTCGAGACCGATTTTTGGCTCAGTCGCTAAGGAATTCCCGAAGATGGCCATTGTCGAGTAACCTTCCCGGAGTTGCCGGCAATCTTCGGTCCTGTGTCCATGCGTGTTGTGAAATTCGCATACTAAATCATAAGTCATTTGTGAAGGATCCAATTGTACAGGTCTAGGCCATCTGGCGTCTCTAATTTTGTTGATGGTGAACACGATGTCCGATACATCGACATTGAAGTTGTATTCTGATAAACGAGGCGCCTCCGTCGGCCCTGCGTTCTTATCAAATTTTGGCTCTGTTAATGAGTCCCCGGGGATTCTGTCCTTGATCTATCCTTTGATCGCTGCGAGGTAGGTTGCACCTCGGGGTGTTCCTTCTATCTTCGGTATATGGTTGATATCTTTCTTTGTTTGGATTTGGCTCCTTCGTCAAGAGCCTGCTTGGGTATACTGAGCCCGAGGGGGCTCCTAGCTGGTCATCTTCGACCCTAATTTTTGACTGGTATCGGTTGTGGACGTCCGACCAGGTTACGGCGGGATATTCGACCAGATTCTCTTTCAGCTGCCTCGAAGCCACCGAGCTTCGCTCGTTCAGACCTTGAGTGAAGGCCTGCACTGCCTAGTCGTCAGAGACCGGTGGTAGTTCCATTCGTTCCATTTGAAAGTGAGATACGAATTCTCGCAGCATCTCGTTTTCCCTTTGCTTGATCTTGAAGACGTCGAATTTCCTCGTTGCTACTTTGATGGCACCGGCATGTGCTTTTATGAAGGAGTGTGCTAGCATGGCAAATGAGTCTATGGAGTTAGGAGTGAGGTTGTGATACCACATCATGGCCCCCTTCGAGAGTGTTTCCCCGAACTTCTTCAATAGGACGGACTCGATCTCGTCGTCCTTTATGTCGTTGCCCTTTACTGCGCAAGTGTAAGCAGTAATGTGCTCATTGGGCTCTGAGGTCCCGTTGTATTTTGGGAGTTCTAGCATTTTGAATTTCTTTGGGATGGGTTTCGGGGCCGCTTCCTCTGGGAATGGACTTTGTATGAACTTTTTCGAATCAACACCTTTCAGGACCGGGGGTGCGCCTGGAATTTGACCGACCCTAGAGTTGTAGGTCTCGGCCTTCTTATTGTTGGCTTCTATCATTTTCTCGCCTGATTCAATCCTTTTGGTGAGATCCTCGAGCATTTTTACTATGACGGGATCGGTCATCGAACCATTATTGCTTGATCTCTCTGGTACCTATTCAGCTGGGGGAGCTGTCCCCGGTGTTATCATGCTGGGAGTTTTTTAGTGACTTTGCAGCTGAACAATAGCTAGTTGTTGTGCCTGCAACATTTCAAAAATAACATGAAGGCTAACCTCACACTCTTCCCTGGTCGGGGTTTTCTGAGCTTCTTGTGGATCTCCCTGGTGTACGCTCTTGTCGGTATGCGAGCTTATATCGACCTGTTGGGTATCGCGTGAGACCGCGTCTACGGGGATTGGTTCTGGCGCATTCCCAGGGTTTTGTGGTGGCAGACCAACACCTGGAACGTCCACACCATTTTCTCCGTGGTCTTCAAGATTGTTGTTTTCGCCTCCATTCACTAAGTTAGCATTTTGACATGAAATCGAAGATCTTGGACAAGAAAAAGCGTGAAAGATAACTTGCATTGTGTGACGAAACCAGCAAGAAAATAACCACTATTATTTTTAGCCCCACGATGGGTGCCAAACTGTTTACCGTGAAAATGGTAATAACAATTAATTTTTGTTGGTGTGACTCTAAAAATACGTGATCTATTTTTATGCTAGTTTGTTAAGCAGTTGATGTTATGTGTGAAGTTTAGAAACGAGATAAAAAGCAAGGAGCGAAGTGATAACCAAACCGAAGGGTCAATTATCGGGGCCTCAAGCTTGCTGATTCGGGGCCTTGAGGTCGATTCCGGAGCTCGACTGTGGGCTATCGAGGGGGCTCGAAATACAGCTAACTGTTATAATAGAATCAACGGAGGCTCTTTATGGCCAATGATGAACAATAATGAAGATAATAAATGAGAGCAATAATGTCAAGAGAATATGTTAGAGAGCGAAAGAGAATGTTCTTGTATATTTCGTATGGAGCAATTGGAGCAACAGGCCTTACAAAGTGATAAGGATCCCCTTTATATATGAGGAGAAATCCAACATAGTACAAAATACATTAAAGATAAAGAAATGGAGATGAGACTGCTAGAAGACATCCTGATTAAGGGCTAAGGTAGTCCTATCAGTCCTAGCCACATGCCTTGGGAACTCCCCATTTCTACCGTGACCGAGGTCAATGTCGTCCCAAGATCGGGCCTCGCCTCGAAGGAGGAGACTCGATCATAACCTTGTAGCTTCGAGACTTCGAGATGGTTTTCTGAGGTGCCTCGATGTTGAGAAATTGGGTTCTCCAATTTCACCGTATACAAAGTGCAAACAAATTAGGCCATGAGGCCTTAAAAGGCCCAACATGGAGAGAATGGGCATAGGCCAGTTGGGCCCCTCTTATGCCATTAAGGGCCTGATTCTAACACGTCAATGTGGCCCGTTGGACCTGGACCAACTCAAAAAAAAAAGAAAAAGAAAAATTTCTTTAACTATTTTCTTAATTTAATACCATCTTCTTCTTCTTTTCATATCAATTCAAACATAAACAAACAGTCGTTCTTAATTATTTTTGAGAGGGCTCCTATTGGCCTAATCAGTTTTGTAGTTTTTCATTCTTAATAACTCCATTAAATATGTGGTTTAATTCTAATTGCTCAGACTTAAGAAGATTATAACATTTGAAAATCTGCCCCGAAATCAAAATCAATTAGTTTAACTCTCAAATATCTTAACTTTTCCTTGAGTATTAGCTCAATTTTCTAGCCCCCCGCCCCCCCTTTTTTTTAACTATTCCCCATACTTTACCAAGTACATAAATAGATAATCTGGAAAATATGTAAATAAATAGATAATTTGGAAATTATGCCAAAATTCTTTTAACTAAGTTTGGTATTTCCTAAAACTGTAAACCAATGTATCTTTCTAGTAAATTTCTATATTTTTAGTTTTAACAAAACCTTATCTGTTTCATCATTTGACACAGCACTGAGTGCCACCTATTGCGCCACCCCATTTAACCGGCACACAAATGTTGGGCGCGCAATTAGCCACCTGCTACCAGGCAGCGAAGCCGTTCGTTTTTCTGGATAATTGAACTTTTCAGGTGTCAATAATATAGTGGTTGAAATCGAAATAAAGAAGAAAAAGGATTTTAAGTTGAAATTCAAAAGAAAGTTTTGAAAGTTAAAGTTATATTTGTGATAAAGTTTTTAGCTATAACCATTTGGTGTTTGGTATTCATTAGTCCGATCATTTTAGATTCATGTAGCGTAAAGTTCATTAAAAATAGAAACGCTCTTTACATGGATTTTTTATTCTCAGAGCTCGAACGCGTAATATCTAGTAAATAGTGAAAGATCCCATTCATTCCACTACATCTCTTGATGGTTGACATAAATTTCACTTAAAAAAATATGCAAAAAGTTTGTAATTAAAAATTATTCATTTGAAATACTTTTCAAACGAACTTTTACGATTACAACTATAGAATTTTGGTGTTTATAAATATGATTGAAAAGGAAAATGAGGCATGGAGCAGCAGGAAGAAATCTAGTCTAGAAAGAAAAACACAAGTAGTCTACCATTTGGTATTTGGTATTCATTAGTCCGATCATTTTAGATTCATGTAGCGTAAAGTTCATTAAAAATAGAAACGCTTTTTACATGGATTTTTTATTCTCAGAGCTCGAACGCGTAACATCTAGTAAATAGTGAAAGATCCCATTCATTCCACTACATCTCTTGATGGTTGACATAAATTTCACTTGAAAAAATATGCAAAAAGTTTGTAATTAAAAATTATTCATTTGAAATACTTTTCAAACGAACTTTTACGATTACAACTATAGAATTTTGGTGTTTATAAATATGATTGAAAAGGAAAATGAGGCATGGAGCAGCAGGAAGAAATCTAGTCTAGAAAGAAAAACACAAGTAGTTACAATTATAAATAATGAGAGAAATAAAAAACACAATTATAAAGAGTGAGGTTATCAGAAAAGGAAACGGACAAAATATGGTTGCAATTTGCAGAAACAAAATGTGTAAAGGGAGGAGAACCTCCAACCATCACCTCGATCTCTACACCTTTTAGCCAGCTTCAATTTTATCTTCATGACAATAAATAAAAAGATAAGATCTAAATTAATTGGAAAAATGATGTGGAAATTTATTGTATTTTCTTCCTGTCTTATCTCTTATTTTGGCATCAATTTTAAGGTATATGATCACTCTTCTTACTATTATAAATAGAGTCCCTTGCCTTGACCATTTCATTAGCAATTCTTCCTAGCAATTGTATCCACATTTGTATTCACAAACTAGAAAACATAAAGTTCTAGCCATGGCTGCATCTTACTCAGTCCCTTCAATGGTAAGATACACCACTAAGAGAAATTCTGTTCTTTTTAACATTATTGTTCTATTTTACTATTCCTTCTTTGCTTTATTACTTACCCAATTTTGTTTGGATTTACTACTAATGGTATAAACAATTTTTACACTATTAATATATTTTAATATGTTGTCATTAGTAACGTGCATTATTATTTAAGTTATCAATCTCACTTTTTTTTTGAACAGTTACATGTCATTTTTATGAACAGTTACATGTCATCAGAGGCGGATGCAATTTTTGTAAAATAAATTTAATTGAACATAGTATTTTCGACATGAAACATAAATATAAGTGTAGCAAAAATCATTAAATTTTTATTAAATTGAATCCATCCAGTTTAAATTCTTAATCTGCCTATTATATATGATAATCTTTTAAATAATCTGGTATAAAAAGTTTTTACACTATTAAAATATTTTAATTTGTTGTCATTAGTAACGTGCCTTATTATTTAAGTTATTAATCTCATTTTTTATGAACAGCTACATGGCATCAGAGGCGGATGCAGTCTTTGTAAAATGGATTCAATTGAATGCAGTATTCTTAACATGAAATATAAATGCAGATGTACAAAAATCACTCAATTTTTATCAAATATCAATTTTTGAACTCATAATCTTAAATTGAATCCATTAAGTTTAAATTCTTGGTTTGCCTTTGTATATAGTTATTTTTTTAGGTAATCTGGTCGTTTATAGTTATCTTTTAGGTAATCTGGTCGTCTAAGTATTTTTTTACATTATAAGAATATAGAAGTTAAACTTTCTTTATTTAATTTTGCATGTATAGATAATGGAAGAAGAAGGGAGGTTTGAAGCAGAAGTAGCAGAGGTACAAGCATGGTGGAACACAGAGAGGTTCAAGCTAACCAAGAGACCATATTCAGCTAGGGATGTGGTGGCACTGAGGGGCAACTTGAGGCAAAATTATGCATCAAATGAGTTGGCAAAAAAGCTGTGGACTACACTCAAAACTCACCAAGCAAATGGCACAGCATCAAGAACATTTGGTGCACTTGACCCTGTTCAAGTCACTATGATGGCCAAACATTTGGACTCTATTTATGTTTCTGGTTGGCAGTGTTCCTCTACTCACACCTCCACCAATGAACCAGGTAATATACGAATCTTCTTCTCTTTCTATCTCAATTTATGTGGCGACGTTCAGATTTCAAAGTCAAACGAGTGTTCTTTTAATGGAGATTTATTCATTTTCCTTTTAAATATTTTAAATTGTTAATTATTGTGACTTGTAGTATGGTTTGCGTAGTTTTTAAATATGTAAATTCTATTACAAAAAATATAAAAAATATTCTGTATCCGAGTTGACGGTCAAAATTAAGAAGTTTCAATTCGAATTTAGGCACATAAATTGGTACACACGGCGACAACTTTATCATTACTTTAAGGCTCGCCCTCAAACAAAGCATTAAGAAATTGTAAAAAGAAGAAACAAAGATTTGAAGAAGGAAGACAAGGTGACATGTGAAGGATAGCAAACATGACATATATATTTGTTACAATACTTGACCAACATATTTGTAGTTTAATATTTTTGCTTCTCAAGTCTAAATTAGTAACTATAGAACTTAATTTCCTTTTTTAAAGAAAAATGTAACAGTCATCTTTATTCTCATGCTTTAAGTTTTGCTACCTCTATCCAGGTCCAGACCTTGCTGATTATCCTTATGACACTGTCCCTAACAAAGTTGAACATCTCTTCATGGCTCAACAATACCATGATAGAAAACAAAGGGAGGCAAGAATGAGCATGAGCAGAGAAGAGAGAGCTAGAACTCCGTTTATCGATTACTTGAAGCCAATCATTGCTGATGGAGATACTGGTTTTGGCGGCGCCACTGCCACTGTGAAACTCTGCAAGCTTTTTGTGGAGCGCGGCGCTGCTGGGGTGCATATTGAGGACCAGTCATCCGTGACTAAGAAATGTGGTCATATGGCTGGCAAAGTTCTTGTTGCGGTTAGTGAACATATTAACAGGTAAGTATGGTAAATGCGCGGGTTTAGTCAAACTTGGGCAGGTAAAATCGGTCAAATCAATAAATAGGTCATACTTCGACCAATTCAAAGTTGGAATTTTTACATTCCTATACCACATAGGAAATCTTGTTACCCTCAATGTTTAAGATTTGACTTAATTACACTTAGTATACCAAATTATCAATTCTATACCATAGTGTATTTTAACCTAAAAAGCTAGCATCCTTACCTTGAGTTGTTTTTGTTAACATATTAAGTTATGCTGGCCGTTATTATTTTGAACCAATATCCAAAACTTAGTCTCGCTTGAAAATATACATTGATGTTAGGAGATAAAACTAGATAAAAATATTTTTTTTTAGAACAAGTAAATGTTTTTTTGTCTTTCCTTAGTAGATAAACAATTATCTCTTCTTCTGTTTTTGGTAACTATCCATTTTTTTAATTACCAAGTAAAAATTTACCAATCAATTTAACTGCCTCAGTCAACTCTATCTTTGCAGTTAATCACATAAACAAATTAAATCTACTCCGGTTATCAGAAACTTAAAGCACACATCTTAGGAAGGGTTTCTTCATGTTTCCTTCCTGCACTTACTATATATATATTAAGAACTCCTATATCAACTAGCTTTGATCAGATAAAACGATATTATTGTAACAATCTTAACTGCTCCTTCTACTCTTGCATTAAAAAGACATGCTATTTCTCTTTCTGTCTGTTCCATTTGTCTCGCTTTCTTCTTAAAGACTCACCATTGGACTACGTACAACCATGTGATGGAGAGTATTAATTTTGTAAAATCTGAACTTCCTTATTATCAACTACATCTTCTTGACAACAATTGAAGAATGTAAAAATTCCTGTGTGGCATAAGAATGTAAAAATGCATCTACAATTGAAAATAATGCATCTATAATCAGAATACAAATAATTTACAATTCATCTACAAAATATCTACAAACTGGGTATATTGAATTTTAATATTCCAATTCTCATTCGATTGTAGTTTAATTGGGATTTTCGACATAATTGCGTTTTTTGCAGAAGATTTATAGAAGTTTTAGTCGTTTTTTATTTGTGAAAACAGAAAATAAAGCATCTACAATCAGAATACAAATAATCTACAATTTATCTACAAAATATCTACAAACTGGATACATTGAATTTTTATATCCCAATTCTCATTCAATTGTAGCATACTTGGGATTTTTGATATAATTGCGTTTTTTTAGAAGATTTGTAGTNATATATATATATAATATTTAGATAATTTTCTGTATTAATAATCTGGCACATTACTAATGATTTCGTAGATTTTCGAAATTACTTTTACAAGTGATGAAGATATAAATAAAGTTAACTGTTCTTATCAAGAAAGAAGTCACGTGTACAGCGAATTAGATGTCCTTGAGGCATTTCGAAAAGCTTTAACAATATGAGTATTTAATGAATGGTATAATAATTGTAGAAAAACTGTGAACATGGCGGGTAAATATGAAACTATGCACATTTTTGGTAATAAGGTTTCATATATGGTAAGAAAAAAGTATTTTCAAAGTTTGCTATGATCAAAATGGATTGGGTCAAGATTGGTCAAGTAACTAGTCATAACCCAAATTGCCCAATATGAGCCAACCTTTCTTCCTTTTTCATTTGCTTTTGGAAAAAAAAAAAAAAAAGAAGTGGAAAATAATGTATTTTTCTTAAATTATTAGCTTTAATTTCTTCCAAATTTACACTATGCCCAATCTCCTAATTTGATTTTGTATGGTAGGATTTGGGTTGCATTTTGACCCTGTAGGGTTATAGTACTATTTTGACACGTTTTGATCCAATCATTTGATAGACCATTTGAGGTTCGACCTGCTGGGTTAAGCCAACAAATGGGTCATACCCCAACCTGTATAAACTTGGACAGGTTACTAAAAGAAGAATTAATCCAAATAGCCGTCTACCTAACTGTTTAAACTAATAGCCGGTGAAGGTATAATATATGCATAATTTATGTATTGCGTATAATTATGTATAATCAATAATATAAACTTTGTATATGGATAGAAAAAATAAACAATCAATATGACCGGCTATTTGTGTAAAATGAATGGGCTAATTTTGCTACCTTTATTAACAGGTTAGTGGCTGCAAGGCTGCAATTTGATATTATGGGAGTGGAGACAGTTCTTGTAGCAAGAACTGATGCAGTAGCAGCAAATTTGATCCAAACCAATGTTGACACAAGGGATCACCAGTTCATTTTAGGAGCAACAAATCCAAATCTTAAAGGCAAGAGTTTGGCCACAATTTTATCTGAATCAATGGCTGCAGGCAAAACAGGACCAGAACTTCAAGTCATTGAGGATAATTGGACAGCAGTGGCACAACTTAAGACATTTTCTGAATGTGTAATTGATACAATAAATAACATGAACATATCGGGGTCCGAAAAGGAAAGAAAATTGAATGAATGGATGCATTATTCAAGCTATGAAAAATGTCTTTCACTAGAACAAGGCAGGGAAATTGCTGAAAGATTAGGCCTTTCTAATATTTTCTTTGATTGGGATTTGCCAAGAACGAGAGAAGGGTTTTATAGGTTTAAAGGGTCTGTAGAGGCTGCTATTGTTCGAGGCTGGGCTTTCGCGAACCACGCTGACATTATCTGGATGGAAACTGCTAGTCCTGATTTGGTTGAGTGCACAAAATTTTCTGGAGGAGTTAAGTCAGTGCGGCCTGAAATAATGTTGGCTTATAATTTGTCACCTTCATTTAATTGGGATGCATCAGGAATGAATGATTTTCAAATGATGGATTTTATTCCGAAAATCGCCAAGTTAGGTTACTGTTGGCAGTTTATTACATTGGCTGGTTTTCATGCTGATGCTTTAATTGTTGATACATTTGCTAAGGATTTTGCTAGGAGAGGAATGTTAGCATATGTTGAGAAAATACAAAGAGAGGAGAGGAAACATGGAGTTGATACATTGGCACATCAGAAATGGTCTGGTGCTAATTATTATGATAGAGTTCTTAGGACTGTACAAGGAGGCATCACCTCTACTGCTGCTATGGGCAAAGGTAACATCTTCCCCTAAACTCACATTATTACTATACAAATATATTGTTACGAGTTTAACTTCAACAACAACAATAAACCCAGTAGAATCCCACAATGAAAAGGGTAATGTGTACGCAGACCTTACCTCTACTTTATGAAGGTAGAGAGGCTGTTTTCGATAGACCTTCGGCTCGTGTTATGAGTTTAACTACTGTACTATATTCTGAACTTCAACACCATCACATGTCACATAAAAAATAATTACATATCCAGCAAACCTGAATTGCTAACCTGGAAAATAAGGCAGGTCACGCGCTATAACACGTTAAAGTGCATTGATAGCTATGTTGTCCGAACTCTCCGAAAAAATTATTGGGTGCGTGTCGGATCCACCAAAAGTAGTGTATTTTTGGAGGACCCGACACGGTTACGACATCATTTTGAAGAGTCTGCGTAACATAGTTTTTTATATTGGGAGTGTATATAAGTTAAAGTAGTCGTGTAATATTCTGTATGTGTACATCTTTACTAGAGATGATTAATAAAGAGAATGTTTATTTAATTTGCAATTGCAGGGGTGACTGAGGAACAATTTGAGGAAAAATGGACAAGGGAAGGAGCAACAAACTTGGGTAATGAAAATATGGTGATTGCAAAGGCAAGAATGTAGAAGAAACATGCTTTTCTTTTGAGTATCAAGTTTAATAACATATTTCAGCTTTCAATAATTCTGCTGGGATTCAATCAATCTGGGCAATTTTTTGGGCCCTTAAAACTGCTCAATATTTATCATTTAATTGTGTGTGGACTTTAATTTAATTTACAACTTTGTATCTCCATTTGGACTTCAATTTGAATTATTAAGATATTGTGCTTGATTCCAGTTTCTAGCTGCTGAATGGATTTTACCTACAAGAATAACTGCATGAATGATCACTGGAGAAGTATCTTAACTAATATATCTCAGCAAAAATTTAATGATTTTTTAGCCATATAATTACAGGATAAAATCACTCATAATTGCGTGTATGATCACTTCTTCAAAAATGAGAACAGAGAGCACAATAACAGTGGCAACAATCAGTAGCAACATAATGAAATTCATCACGCATTTTCTTGATTTCTTTTGAATATTATTCATTGCAGTTTAAGATTTCACTGCACAATTCGCGAGTTCTTACCTATAAAAACATGTTAATTATCATTTTTATCAGATTATCAACTAATGTTTATTAAGAGATTCACTTATGATTACCTAATAAGTGATCTGATTGTGTAAAAATTATTTATACGTGCATAGAACTTAAACTCTAATGTATTACTATCACAAAAAGGTGGTATGACTTGTCAGTTTTATTTTCCAACTTTCTTTGCTTCCACGATGAATAAGGAAAATCATCAAAACTTCAATTTAAAATTTTAATTTCAAGCTACTCAAAATTTGTTAAGAAGATGAGATTATTATCCATAGACAAAACATAAAAGAAATAAAAAAATATATATAATAATAATTGAAAACAAAAGCCAAATTATTAAAAGATCAAATGAGAAATGAGATTATGACTTAATGAGAAATGAGGATATTGTATTGAAGAGTTGGGCTTGCACAAGCCTTTTAGAATACCAAGTAATGGTCCATGCTTATGTTTTTTTCTTTGTTTTTCAAACTTTGTTCCTTTCAAATACTGTTTTCCCCAAATAACTCCACCAATATATATTTTGTACAATTAGAAAATATTTTCCAACAAATGCCCCTATAGCTCAGTGGTAGAGCGTCAGTCTTGTAAACTGAAGGTCTGTAGTTCGATCCTGCATGGGGGCAGCACTCATTTTATTTATTTTTTTCCCTTTTTTTTATTAAATTAACATACAAAAGTAATACTCCCCTCTTTTTTTTTTATCTTTTTTTGTCTTAATGAACCGGTATTTTCTTCTTCTTTTTTAAGAAAGGAAATTTTAATTGAAACATGTGTGCACCGTGTCTAAATATTTTGGATATTACACTTTTATTAATCATAATAAATCTTTTAACAGAATAGAAAGGATTAAGTCCTTATTTCACGGGTTTAAATAAGTTTGGATAATCGATACTCAATAAGATTTATGCTGGTTTTTCTGCTATTGATTGGTCACAAACTAAAAAAGAATAGTCTGCCCATTAAGGCATTTTTATTTCTTAATATGACCAATAAATTGATATTTTTAACCTACCGTGAAAATGATACGTTATCATTTTAAGTCATTAAATATTCTTACTTATTTAAGCTCAAGTTTCAAGTCTCACGTCACTTCTTTTTCCTTTTATTTTTTATTCGATGTCCGATATTAGCATTGAGACCCTACTATTCCAGATTCGCGCATTTACTTTAAACAACATGTAAACATAAATCTTAAACAAAAAACTATGACACATTCTCCATATCATATTATTAGTGCAAGTCATATATATTCTAAGGTGAAACATATATATATCCTCATAAAAAAATTATAAAATTTATGTTACTTCATACCAAACATCAAACACCAATAGAGTAAAATTAACAAGAGAAAAAGGAAGGAAAAAAAAAACAATATCTTGACTGGTGCATTTGAAAACCATGGGTACTAGGAGAATATTCTTGCCTTGCAACATACGGAATTTTGTTTAATAAAAAAAATCCTGTGATATTTTATATTCATTATAATTATTCCAATAATTGAAATTAGGCTATTATGACTCCTTAATTTCCTTCAATCTCTTTTAATAATCTTAGGAAATGGACATCCAAAAGACACGAGATTCGACAAGATTTTATGCTCCATCTAATGTCTAATTATTCTAAAGTTTGTTTGAATTTTTATTATATTATAGAAAGATACGAAAACAATCAGAATATTCAGATCACAAGACGTTTTTGGTTAATGATCTTTGTTAACTTTATTCTGTACCAAAAATATTCTAACGATTTTTCGTTGAATGAAGTATATTTCTTAAGATTGTTCACGGGCATACATAGCAAAAATTGGGAAAAAGTTGATAAAGAAAAAAGGATCTTTAATTTAAGTCAATTTGCTTTAAACTGTTTATTAGATAAATCCAGTAAATGGAGTGCTTGAACAATGACAAGTTGAACATGATTATAGGTCAGTACTTATTGTTTCATTTACGTGTCATTAGTGTGTGACAAACGTAATTATTCCATTGAAATTCCTTGTTCTTTTTTGTGACCACGCATGGTAGTGAAATTTTCATGAAATAACTCTCGATTTAATAATATTATTATTAATCTTTTTGTCACGGCCCGTAATTTCCACCCTCGGGACTGTGATGACACCTAACATTTCACTTGCTAGGCAAACGAATGTTAGAAATAGTTTATAGTCATTTTTAACAATTCAAATTAGATAATAACTCTTAAACTGAAATAGAGTGAGAAAAACCATAATAACAACGATATCCAGATACAATCTCAGAATTGGTGTCAGGTGCATGAACGACTAGAATAATACAAATAATGGTCTCAATGAAAGAAAAATGGTCTGAAATGAAATAAACGGTTAGGATAAGGTAGAAGGACACTTCAGGGTTGCGAACGCTGAGCAACTGTACCTCAAGTCTCCATCAGGCAATCAATCCGAGCAATCTATTGACCGCCGCTAGGACCGTGCACAAGAAGTACAGAATGCAGTATGAGTACAACTAACCCCATGTACTCTGTAAGTACCGAGCCTAACTGCGACGAATTAGTGACGAGGCTAAGGCAAGCCACTTACAATAACCTGAATGTGGTATAATAATGATAACAAGAAAGGAACACAGTAAAAGTGAAGTAGTCGACTTATGAAAATAAACTCAATCCTCGAAATAAGTAAAACTAGAAATATCAGTCCTCAAAATCTCGTATGAAAACACTAAAAGCTAACACAATGTTACAATGAATACAAAACATACAATCTGTTGAGGCGCACAATCCGATCCCACCGTACAAAATCAATATCCTCCCATATTTTACCGTTTTAATATCAAGAATAACAAGTAAAATATGTTGCGCGATCCTACCATATAATCAGAATCAATATCATATTCCTCCCTTATTTTACCATATCAAAATCACATATAAAATCTTATGCAACGTGTAACCCAATCCCACCATATCAATATCAATCCTCCCTTATTCTACCCATTGTGGCATGCAACCTGATCCATAAACAAATCAATAAACGTAATCAATTCAATAACTCAATTCATAAGAATCTCTATGATTAAAGAATTATGAAAGCAAAGTCATAAAGGAACCTCCTAGTAAGGTAATCTCGTTCTTGAAGGCCTAGTGGATGGTTGGGAAATGTTATCTTTCATACTTAGCCTTTGTGAGGGATGTCAGCGCAGAGACTCCTAGTATTGATTCTGTTCCTATAGTGACGGATTTTACCGATGTGTTTCTTGTAGAACTGTTGGGCATGCCACCAGACATGGATATTGATTTTGGTATTGATCTGGTGTCGGGCACTCAGCCCATTTCTATTCCACCGTATCATATGGCAACATCGGAGTTGAAGGAGTTGAAAGAGCAGTTTCAGGAACTCCTTGATAAGGGGTTCATTTGGCCTAGTGTGTTACCTTGTGGTGCGCCTGTTCTATTTGTGAAGAAGAAAGATGGCACGATGAGGATGTGCATTAATTACAGGCAGTTGAACAAAGTAACAATCAAGAACAAGTATCTTTTGCCTCGTATCGATGATTTGTTTGACTAGCTCTAGGGAGCGAGAGTGTTCTCCAAGATTGATCTTCGTTCAGGATATCACCAACTGAAGATCAGGGACTCGGATATTCTTAAGACAGCTTTCAGGACCCGATATGGTCATTATGAGTTCCTGGTGATGTCTTTTGGTTGACCAATGCCCCGACAACATTCAGGCATTTGATGAATAGCGTGTTTCGGCCTTATCTAGACTCGTTTGTCATAGTTCTCATTGATGATATTCTGGTGTATTTGCGTAGTCAGGAGGAGCATGCAGAGCATTTGAAAGTTGTGTGCAGAAGTTGAGGGAGGAGATGCTTTATGCAAAGTTCTCCAAATATGAGTTTTGGCTCGATTCAATGGCTCTTTTGGGGCACGTGGTGTCTAGTGAGGGTATTCAGGTTGATCTGAAGAAGATAGAGGCGGTTCAGAGTTGGCCCAGACCGTCCTCAACCACAGAGATTCATAGCTTTCTTGGTTTGGCGGGTTATTACCGTTGATTCGTTCAGGGATTTTCATCTATCCCATCACCCTTGACCAAGTTGACTCAAAAGGGTGCTCCATTCAGGTGGTCGGATGAGTGTAAGGAGAGCTTTCTAAAGCTCAAGACTGCCTTGACCATAGCTCTAGTGTTAGTTTTGCCATCATCTTCAGGTTCATATACAGTGTATTGTGATGTTTCGAGAGTTGGTATTAGGTGTGTGCTAATGTAGAAGAGTAGAGTTATTGCTTATGCTTCTCGTCAATTGAAGCCCTACGAGAAGAACTATCCTATTCATGATCTAGAGTTGGCTGACATTGTTCACGCATTGAAGATTTCGAGGCATTATTTATATGGTGTGTCTTGCAAGGTGTTTACTAATCATCATAACCTCCAAAACTTGTTCAAGTAGAAGGATCTCAATTTTAGGCAGCGGGGATGGTTGGAACTGCTAAAGGACTATGATATTACTATTTTGTACCATTCGGGGAAGGCCAATATGGTGGCCAATGCCTTGAGTAGGAAGGCGGTGATTATGGGGAGTTTGGCGTATATTCCTGTTGGGGAGAGACCTCTTGCAGTTGATGTTCAGGCCTTGGCCAATCGGTTCATAAGGTTGGATATTACGGAGCCCAGTCGGGTATTGACTTG